AATGTGTTTGCAGGCCTTTATGCTCTCAAATCCAACTACCCATGGTTTTTTTTTTTGCTCAGGTTTACATTTAGCTAGTATTTCCCAAGCCATGAGCCAGCCCTTTCGTGCTGCAAGTTATGCAGTTTTGTTCCAAGTCCCCATACACAGTATACTTGTTTATGTGTAGCGCATAAATAAGATTGCAGCTATCATGAATAACCAACCTCCACCTCCAGCACTGAAGCCCAGCTGTCCTGAGTCACCATCCTGCCCCTTGGAGGAACAGCATGCCTTTGGCTCTATCATTAGTGAACCTTTTCCATATTAACTACATGATTTGAACTATGAGTGCCTGTCATTGTAGTTGGACTAATAATACCCATTAGTCGTATTTTGATAAGATTAAGGCTTTTATTAGACTAACATATTCAAAACACTGCATTTAGGGTGTGTTCTTTTCTGCCCATTAATAATTTCAGCATAACAAAGCTCCTTTTTTCTATTTCCAAAGCTTATGTCAATCCAGCGCCAACGCAATGCAATCGGTAACTTAGACTTCATCCTGATTAACTCTCACAATAAAAACAGCAGTATCAGGCACCATATTTTCCTAGAATCTATGCAACACAAAACCAGCAATACAGTTAAAACGATTCAGTGATGAGCACCATAACAAGACCCTAAGCAAAACGTATAAACAGTTTAACTTTACAATTAAACACTGTGTTTGCTGCTTGTTTCTATTTTCCCATCCCCACCTCAGTCAGAGAAAACAAATACTGCAACCACTGTTAATTAAAGATTTCTGTAACAACAAATGTGCCAAATAAGCCACTTTGCACATAGCGGGGCATGAACTCTATTCTTCACATGCAGCAAATTGTGCCACCCAATAAGTAGCATTAAAATGGTAATGTCAGCTCCCTGAGCCCTTAATTGGCTGAATCAGAGAGCCAGGAGCATGCTTGTGCAATCAAGAGACCCCTGTCTGCCTTAAATGCTGAGTTTTAAACAGATGTCTTAAAAAGAAAAAGGGAGGGAGAAGCCAAGGGAAGGGAACATAAAAGGATTTCGCAAATAGGCTCTGCATGCATAGATGCAGAAAGAAGATATTCTCTGCCAGCGCTACTTTGAAGTCTTTTGACCTGGACAGCATGGATCACAGGTGGCAGCTTACGCAGGCACCCTTATGCTAGGGAAAAAGAAATCCATGGACAAGCCTTCTGTGTTCACATTTTCTAGTTATAGGGTTGGTAACACCCGCTAAGTCTTATGCCAGAACTCTCGAATGCTGCTTTTGTAAATGAAAGGAAATTTTTCCCATATGACTTCCATGAGGAAAAAAAAAAAAAAAGAAGCCTCTTATCTACATACACTCTAAGTTATAAGGACCTGGCAATTTAGTTTGTGAAGGGTTCCACATTTCTTCCCTGTATCCCCAAAATAAATATTTTTTACACATTTTCAGACTTTGTGGAAGAAAACCAGATTGTGGTGTCGGATGTGGGAGATGGATTTCTGCTCATCTTTGTGGCTTCTGTCTACTGCCTTCCTCGGTTAGCACAAAAAAACTTTCACTGAATGCAACCTTCAAAGAAGAATTGCCAAGCTTGATACTATTCATAAGTGCAGAGCAAGCTCCACGCTTCCTGACCTCTGCTATCCAGCAGTTCCCAACACAGGAAATGCCTCACTGCTTTTCTTCCCCTTCAGAGAAGCCAGAGGACCCAATCCAGATATCCCCAGCTCCCAGAACAGGTGAAGTACAAGCAAACCCAACTCCCTCCCAGCAAACAGGGAAGCCTCAGCCCTTTAACCTTGAGTTTTGCTTCCTTCCTTTTATGAGAGATTCCTATCTTTTAAATAGGGCTAGAAAGGCTAGCAGAGAAGAAACAGCTTCCAAGGGGTGTATCCAGGGACAGGGCTAGGAAGAAGCCCCTGCAGCAGGCAGGAATTAACCCCAGCCCAACTTTGCAGGAGCCGTGAAAGAGTTTTAGGGGACACTAAGAGCTCTGCAGAGGGATCCTGGATCTCACACCAGAAGCGGGAATCACAGCAGGAATATCCCAGCTTGATTTCCCAAAATATATTTCCCATGAAATGGAAGAGCAGAGATGCACAAGAGGAAATGCTGAGTCCCTGCTAAGCAAAGAAGGCAGGTACAGTTTGTACACTATGCAAACAGCAAAGGTGCTTTGCAGAGGCTGGTGAACCCACGCAGAAGTGGTTTGCACAGGGTTACAGGATGAGACAAACACTAATCAAAGCACACAACACACAGAAACCCCACACCTCAGTTGTCTAAGCATAGCATGAGGGCAGACTAGCTGCATGGGATCAGAGTCATCACCAGGTTTGTAGCAAGGACTCCATGTAGTGGGATCTCCATGGGTGCAGGCTGAGTCTCTGCTTCCAGCTGTATCAGAAAGCAATGGTCTTTTTCAACATCTTTGTTGCTGACATGGACAGTGGGATTGAGTGCACCCTCAGCAAGTTTGCTGATGACACCACTGGAGGGAAGGAATGCCATCCAGAGGGACCTTGACACTCTTGTGAGGTGGGCTGATGCCAACCTTATGAAGTTTAACCATGCCAAGTGCAAGGTCCTACACCTGGGTCGGAGCAATCCCAGGCACAGCTACAGGTTGGGCAGAGAAGAGATTCAGAGCAGCCCAAGGAGAAGGACTTGGGGGTATTGGCTGATGAGAAAATGAACATGAGCCGGCTTCAGTGTGGGCTTGCAGCCCAGAAAGCCACCGTATCCTGGGCTGCATCAAAAGGAGCGTGACCAGCAGGTCAAAGGAGGTGATCCTGCCCCTCTACTCTGCTCTCATGAGACCTCATCTGGAGCATTGTGTGCAGTTCTGGTGTCATCAACATAAAAAGGACATGGAACTGTTGGAACAAGTCCAGAGGAGGCCACAAGGATGATCAGGGACTGGAGCACCTCCTGTATGAAGACAGGCTGAGAAAGTTGGGGCTGTTCAGCCTGGAGAAGAGAAGGCTGCGTGGAGACCTCAGAGCAGCCTTCCAGTATCTGAAGGGGGCTTATAATGATGCTGGGGATGGACTCTTCATTAGGGACTGTAGTGATAAGACAAGGGGTAATGGATTAAAACTTAAACAGGGGAAATTTAGATTGGATATATGGAAGAAGTTCTCTACTGTAAGGGTGATAAGACACTGGAATGGGTTGCCCAAAGCGGTTGTGAATTCTCCATCCCTGGTGGTGCTCAAGACCAGGTTGGACAGAGTCTTGGGTGACAACATGGTTTAGTGTGAGGTGTCCCTGCCCATGGCAGGGGGCTTGGTACTAGATGATCTTAAGGTCCTTTCCAACCCTAACTATTCTATGATTCTACTATACTACTGTAAAGCACCTGGCAGCACAGATAAGTGACACTCCTAAATGATACCACTGGTTCAGGTCCCTAGGAAGATAGCAGAAATTATTCTGAGTTACGAAACAGTGTCCTAACACAAAAAAAAACACAGCCTGTTCAACTGTCCCTGGAGTCTTCAGTTAGCGAAGAACTTCAAGTACAGGCAGCAGTCCTAAAATAGCTTTCAAAGAGAGCAGTCTACCAGCTATCATCCTCATATTGCTTGCCTTACTATCTCTTGAAATTCTATATATCATAGATGAGATTGATGAGCCTGACCTAACCGTAAAAGCCATTGGACATCAGTGATGCTGAACCTATGAATATACAGACTTAAAGACCTTATATCTGACTCATACATATTCCCAACAATAGAATTCCCACTATGTGACTTCCTACCTCCAAAGTTGATCACTGTGTTGTTACACCAATTGAATTCCCCATCTGTATTATTGTTACTGCTGATGACATACTCCACTCGTGACAAATTCCCACACTAGGAGTAAAAACTCTTGCAATCAGTCCCAGGACAACTGGGTCAAACATCATTCATCACTACTCAACCAGTACAAAGAACTCAACTGGTTAAGAAATACGCATTTCTTAACCCAATGTCACGGCCATGGGGAAGGTACGGGAAGGAGGACAAAGTCACTGACATGATGGTCATAATCTTAGTAAATAAGGAATTGGCTAGAAAATTGGAAATCAGCTATTTCTTGAGTGCAAGAGATCATGACTTGATTACATTTGTTACACGAAACGAAAGGATAGTCTACACCCTAATCACACACACAGAGCTTTGAAAGGGCCAATTTCATTAAACTCAAAATGATTATAAGTCAGTGAGGACAAAAAATATAAATGGAAATTATTCTGTTTTCATGTGCCTTTTTTCATTTCTAAAAAACCCAACACCAGATGCCAAAAGAAACACCATTTCACAAAAGGAAAAAACATCTTTATTTTTGCTTTATAACAGGCTTGCTAGTCTTCCTTAAAGGGAAAGCAACTAAAACAAATATTTTTAATTGTCATTTGAAAACTCAAGAGGAAGCTAATGGTAATCAATACGTGACAGAATTTGAGAACTGTAGAGTACAGATAAGGGAAGTAAAAGGACCATAAAAGGAAGTCTGTGACCAATGTAATTGAAACAATCTGGGGTGTTATTCTTTTCAAAGACACCACCTACATCTTACTAGCAAATGAATCCATTTAGTGGATTTATCCATATTAGTATAACCCATTACTAGACACAAGTGGTAGAAATGATAATAGAAAAAGGCAATAGTGTTCAACAAACGCTCACATCCCACATCTGGGAGAGAGCCAGCCGACATACAGCTATCAGGATGAAATTCACAACATCATGACTATTTTGGAATGTAAGAATATCAGCTATGAAAGATTACACCATATTACCCTAACTTCATCTTTTATTAATGCCTATCAACAGGAGCTCAGAGAAACTAGTGTTTAGTTTCCAGGAGACCTTGCCAGCATTATGGCCTGCTTATCAGCAAAGACATCCTTCTTAAACACTTCACTCTGCAGTGCATGATGTCTCATTAAGTAGGACAACACAAAAAAGGAAAATCAGTTTAGGCCATGCTAAATGGATTAAAGACATACCTGAAAAAGGGAATCCTCTATGACAGCAGAGCATTCCCACTGCAGCTCCACACTGGCTGTTCCTGGGAATACGCTGTGCAGCATTTTGGGGATCTGAGGAAAAGAAAATAAACAAAAATTTGTCAGGAACTCTGGTTTCTAGGTGCCACCAGAAATAAGAGAGCAATAAATAGGAGAGGTCAGCAAAAATAAGCCCCATCTAGATGATCTGGCAGGCTGTGCAGCTTGCATTTCGCATTGTTGCACAGCCAATGCAGCCCCAGGGAGCTGCGGGGAGAGTGCGGTCTGTCCTGCAGCACAGGAAACATCAGCTTCAGTAAAGAACTGATGCTTCAACCTGGTGCCCCACCAGAATAAAGCCATCTTTCAGTGCTGTACCTTGGAAGTTTGGGAAGAGAAGAGAGATGAACAAAAATAATTATTTAGAAATTTGTAACCATATCTGATGATAAGAAAGAGGTTGGACAGGGGCCGGAGCCACCTGCTCTAGTGGAAGGTGTCCCTGCTTGTGGCAGGGGGCTGAAACTGGATGAGCTTTAAGGACCCTTCCAACCATTCCACGATTCTACAAAAAGAAGTTTCTTTCCCTATATTTCGTAGAGGAAGTTTCAAGGAAAAGTAACAACCTGAAGTCACAAAACAAGTAATAGAAGTTGGACATTCAGGAATGACTCAGTCTCATGGAGTATATTCTCCAGTGGTGGAGTCAACTCACAGGTAGACACAGAGATATAGGTATAATGCAACCACTTACACGACTGAAAAAACTGCCACAGAACAGCCATTACAGCTAACAAACAGCTCAGGGAACGCGGAAGGCATATAGCACACCAAAGATCCAGATTCACATCCTTTCACCATCTCATTTAGAGCAGATCGATATGCATCTCCAATGCCAAGATGAGTATCCAACGCAAATGCTGTGCAAAAAGTAACGTTTCTTTTTTGACCAACAGCTCCCATCATGGGGATGGAAAGCTTTCCTTTCAGTGCTGACGCATGCATCCCTCTGGAAAGAGTAAAGATTTTAGCTAAAATATTCCATTTGTTCCAATCTCAAAAGAAAGCCCTGATTGCCTTTGCTGTAATTAGCCCCACAGTCTCATCCTGCCTCTCTGTAACAAGGCTGCAGATGGCGCATGGCTTTGCAGCAGTGAAACACTCCTTCACAATTAAATCACAGAGTCATAGGCTGGTTTGGGCTGGAAGGGACCTTACAGCTCACCCAGTTCCAACCCCCTGCCACAGGGAGAGACACCTTCCACTAGAGCAGGTTGCTCCAAGCCCCGTCCAACCAGGCCTTGAACACTGCCAGGGATGTGGCAATACTATGACACAATCTAGCAGAGCTTAATAGGCAGCACTACAGTCATGGTACAGCTATTGTCCTTGCATTTGCTCTGCACCCTAGGATCAAGAACAGAAAGTAACTTCAGTGCCTATGATTTTAGGGCCTCACAGCTATACTCCTGTAACGATGCTCAGATGAGCAGGTCTGTCTGGCCATTTCAGTGCAATAGAGGCAGCCTACATCTAAACTTCTATAACCTTCGAAATTTCCCTCTGGATTGCAGGGAGAGATCTACAGCTTACTGCATAGCACGAATGACAGGAGGTCCTAGCCTAAAACTTGCCTGTAACACGGGAATGATTACTGTCGGATTACTCAAACTGGCAAGGCTAGCCCAGTCCAGCCCAGATCACTGCACCACAATTAATTAATCTGAATAGGAATGGTAGAACATGTCTGAACACAGAAACAGTGATTTCACCACAAGAACAAGCCTCGATACCAGCACAAACTGCAGATGAACTGCAACTGCAGGCATGAAGCCAGAGCAAGCGGCAGCAGCCGGAGCCTGGGCACTGCAGCTGGTTACCGATGGCTGCCTCCTCCAGCACAGACAGAGCCCCCGATACCCCTTCACCCGACATGTCATTATCAGCTGCATGTTCAAGTGAAGAAGAACGAGGTGCCAGGGACGGCAAACAAATGGGCTGTGACAGAGTTACAGACATGACACAGAATGCAGAGTGCAAAATCAGATTTCCCCCAACCGCTGCAGAGCCACGCTGAGATTCTTGCTCTGGTGATTTATACCTTAATTTTGGCCGATAATGCCTGCATTTGTCTCTATACCAGTTATTAGCTTCCTCAAGGAAAGCAAAAATCAGAATGCTTTTGAAAGCTCTGAGAGAAACACTGCTCTTCCTTCCCCACCTAGCAGGCATATTTATGGCATAATCCAAAGGAATAATTACTCCAAATGGTAGACCATCTCGCCAAGCGATCAGCATGGCTGTGTGAAGTTACAATCGATGCTGAAAATGTATGTCCCTGTATTTACCACAGGACAGTCCATCTAACTTTGAGAACCCACCCCCTTCCCACCTCATTTCAAAGTTAGAGCTGGTTTTGCATTGGAAATCAGAAGGCATAACCACACACCAGGGCCCTCTCCCACAAAAGAAATACCTTTTACATTTATTAACAGCAGAAGCACTGCACTAAAATCAAAGGAAGACTATAGAAATACAAACAAAGGTAAGAAAATATTCACCATAACAGGAAAATCTTTTGAAATCAGTAATTGGTGTATTTGTTTCTCTGCACATACACAGAAAATACTGTGCATTGGAAGCTCAGTTACAAGTTCCTTCCTTTATTTGCACACCATTAGCATTTCTTAACATTGGAGGTTCCCAGTGAACTAGGTTTGTCTGCCCCAATTACAGGAATCCCCACAGAATTCTCACTTTCAAAGCAGTTGCATAAAATATTAATTACTCATATTTGGAGTAAATGAACATAAGCTAATAAATTTACAAATCAAATTACCACAAGCTATCAGATGACTTTTTATTTAATTGTTATGGATTGCCCTTTAGACATCATAATGAAATTAATAGAACATGCTGGTAATCAATAGTTACCGATTAATCAATTTAGAGCAGCTCTTATGAAGACTCTTTAACCCCCAGACGTCACTATTTATTACCTCATAATGCAAGTGCAGGCATACACTGGGCAAATAGATATAGGACATATTTAGGAATGAAGCAAAGGTATCTGGCTGTTACACAAAGTTCAAGGTGTGCCAGCATGAGATTCTGCATATATATAGGTCATCTCACCCTTGAAGGTTAATTATTATGATCCTCATTAATACATGATCAAGGTCTTCTCATGAGTGGGATAAACAGTCATCCTTCATGGGTCATCTGTTTCTATTTATTCAGCAAGGAATATTTAAAACATTTAACTTCATCGCAGTGTATCTGTTCAGTACTTCATGGCACTTATGGAAAACATGCGCTATTTAAGTATTTTCACATGTGCACAGATTTCCAGGAATCTGCATGCTACAAAATTTTGAAAGCAGTGGGAGTAACTCACTTGATGCCAACAGAATATAGCTTTTTTGTGCTAACAGTAGCTTCCCTGTCTAAAACACTTGTGACCCTCATTACAACACAAACTTGCCTCTATTCCATTGTAAAGGAGGTCTCCCTCCTTCTGCATGCAGCAGTTCAGGAGATACATTCTAAGAGAAAAGTTAGAAAAGTCCATGTGACCCAAAAGCCCAGACCTTTAGAATCATTTAACATTGGAAAAGACCTCTGAGATAAAGTCCAACCATTAATCCAGCCCTGCCAAGGCCACTACTAAACCATATCCACAAGTGCTACATCTACATGTCTTTTAAATGCCTCCAGGGACAGTGTCTGCAGCCCTGCCCTGGGCAGCCTGTTCCAATGCCTGAGCACCCTCTGGGCAAGGAATTGTTCCTCAGCTCCATCTAAACCTGCCCTGGGGCAGCTCAAGGCTGTTTCCTCTTGTCCCATCCCTTGTTCCTTGGGAGCAGAGCCCAGCCCCTCCTGGCTCCGTCCTCCTGTCAGGCAGTTGTAGGGAGCCATCAGCTCCCCCCTGAGCCTTCTCTTCTTCAGACTGAACCCCCCAGGTCCCTCAGCCGTTCCCCATCACACTTGTGCTCCAGGACCTGCTCCAGCTCCATTGGCCTGCTCTGGCCCCGCTCCAGCACCTCAATGTCTCTCTTGTAGTGAGGGGCCCAGCACTGGGCACAGGATTTGAGGTACAGCCTCACCAGTGCCCAGTGCAGGGGCACAACCACTGTCCTGGCCCTGTGGCCACACTGCTGCTGATACAGGCCAGGATGCCATTGGCCTTTCTGGCTGCCTGGGCACAAGCTGGCTCATTTTCAATGACCTACAGATCAATAACCCCACATCCTTTTCTGCCGGGCAGCTTTCCAGCCACTCTTCCCCAAGCCTGGAGCGTTGCATGGGGTTGTTGTGACCCAAGTGCAAGACCCAGCACTTTGCCTTGTTGAACCTCACACAATTGGCCTCAGCCCATCGATCCAGCCTTTACTTACAGACAACTTTGGCAGTAAAGACCTCTTATGTCATCTGCGGCTTCCGCCCAATTTCCTATCCAGCCATGCTCCCAGAATCCCCATAGTTACTCCACTTGGCAGGCAGACAGCCCCATTTTTCAGCACCTGCATCTCAGGGCAGACCTCCAGGCAGACAGCTCTCATATCAGCAACTCTAGGGCTGCTCTCCAAGTAACTCCTTATTATGAATTAGTTTGAAGCTAAATGCAAAAGTAGGCTTTTTTGTTTTAATGTATGAGTGCCATCCAAGAGTAGGAATAGGTCTCTCTTCCCGCTCCCTACCGCTCTAGCAAGACTGTGCTCACATCAGGGTGGTGGGAGAAGCAGCAAGTACCCACAGGGGCAGCAGTCCCCATGCCCACAAATCCATGTCTGAGTCAAGGCCAGCTACCAAAATCACAGGAGGGAGGTCACCCCTGTGCAAGAGATGGAGATGACATTAAGCGTTTTGATTCAGCCTGCAGTTTCCTGCCCACACATGACCTTCTAGAGACCTCAGCCATAATGCTGTCCAGCAGAGAGACTTCACTGCTCTGCGTATACAATAAAAAGCCAGAAGCACTAAAGCTTACCCAAAACCAGCAGGCTGGTAGCTAGGTCTTGTGAACGGCTGTGGTATACAGACTCATTCTGGTTTAGAGCTTTCCTTTTAACTATCACAGGATCTCTTCACTG